TCCCTCTGCTTTCCAGTTTGTGATAGGAGTGATTTTGTTCTCCTACACACTCCTGCCATGATGTGCTGCCTTGCCATAGACCCCAACAAGATCAACAAATTATAGACTGAAATTTTCAAAACTGTGAGCCAAAAGAAATCTTCTCTCTATATAATTTGATTATCTCAGGTGTTGCTATAGTTACAGAAAGCTAACACATAGGCTTCCAGGTAAGTGGAAACATCACACAAACTTCTTGAAGCAGCAAAGCAATATTATGTTTGCCTACAGATAGGAGCCGGCTCATTATCTTTTCTTCTTTACTATTCTTCTTTGCCCTTTTTACTATCAGATATTTTTCTAGAGCAAAGTCAGTTTATAAGTTCAAGCCATTGCAGTGATCTTTGGGAAAAGGAAGCTAAGAGAAGAAAATTGTCTTCTTTTGGACAAAATCACACTTGTTTTGCTTCAGAAACATTAGTCATTGGGAAAATGGTATAGCTGGTTCTAACCCTGATTTGAGCAGCATAAACTGAACACAAAAGTTCAGTGAAGACAGACAGTTCACGTTTGTGTTAGGAATCAATCACAACAAAGAGACTCACTTAGAAAAGAAATCCCACATCAAGAGGAGAGTCACAGGGCATGTTATCCTCATTCAATTAAGAATTAGGCCCACGTAACTTTCTTCTCCAAAATACATACTCAATATAACTAACCTTGAGGGTTTCTGACCTTCCTAATAGAAATAGCACTTATTTGTCAATAATTTCCAAACCTCACCACTTTTGCTAATGCTTTGTCCCAGATTTCAGGGAACATTGCTCTTCAATTTAGAATGTAACTCTTACTCATATTTACTCGTGGTCATAGTTCACAAGAAGGTTACTTATAGGGCTAGGGATTTAGCTCAGTGGTTCCGCTGCCTGCCTCACAAGTGCAAGGTCCTGAGTTCGATCCCTGGTATCCCTCCCCCACACAAAGAAGGTTATTTATAAAGAAATGTGGAAGATCCTAAGAAAATTGATAAATCTAACAATAGGTTTCTAAACCTAGAAGTGACTGAGCTCAGCAGATCTGACATTTCATTCACATTTCATTCATTCTTCTTCCTGAAGCACACTGGAAAACATTAGCCAAAAACTAAGTTATCAGTTCTTAAAGCAAAAATATCAGTTCTTGGAGGAGCTAAGTATAAAACAAGGCCCACCCATGTGAGGCTGCATTGACGTTCTCCCGTTTAAAGCATAAGATTTACTTTGAGAGTTCTCGTGCTATGATATTCCAGACGGTAAATTGTGATAACATCCTCCATGACCGATTGGACAACAGGTCACTTTAATGTGATGGGATTATTCAGTTCTAGCGAGTTTGTCATGTAAAGCAGGCAGTCTGTAAAGTGGTTTTAAAAATATAAGTAGCTTCCAATCGTGAATTTCTTTCCCTTAATACCTAAGACCCAGTGGACCTTTCAGATGAATATAACCCATTACTTTTCAACTCAACCAATTTACTATAGCCCAGAGCAGAACCCATGAATCCACCTATAATTTATTACAGATTTTCAGAACACTATGTTCAGCCAGTTCATATGACAACATGCTTTGTTTTAAAAAATGGCCCATCACTGAACACAAGAAAACACAAGTCAAAGCCACAAAAGGTTTAGTGACTGAATTTAAATGTTTATGGACTGGAATCCCAGATATACCTTGGTGCTGACAGGGCAAATCGCTATGCATTCAGCCACAACTGATGGAATGTGTACCGTGTAGTCCCCAAGAGATAGTTGAACAAAATTTTATAAACAACTTTTTTTGCACTCAAGGTGTCCACAACATCTAAGGTAAAATTAAAAGCAATAAACACTCAGGTTTTCTGTACAATTGCAATCTTCTAATTTTTGCTTCTCCCCAACCCCAGATCTTGAGTCATTTTAGAAATGCTTCATGAGCACCCCATGAGGAACAATCCTACTGTTAATGTGTTGTTTCTAATCTGTGTATACTTTTTTACTGAGGGCCAGCAGAGGAAAGAGGAATGATGCCTAGATTTCCTTAAGGGAATAGAAAAGGAAACACTATAAACACACAAGTACACTACCAGAAAGGTCTCACCCAGGGCCTACAGATAAGATGGAAGAGCAGCTGCTAGGTTTGAATGTTTCCTCTCAAAACTGATGAGATAAAAACTCAATTCTCATCGCAATAGCGATGTGATCAGAGCTCCACCCCACCCCCGTGTCTCTCGCCGTTTCACTGTCCACGTGAGGAAGCGAAACGGCAAGAAAGCTTTATCAGATGCTAACACCTTGATGTTGGATTTCCTAGCTTCCTGAATTATGATAAACATGGTTTTTCTTCTTAAAATTATCTGGTCCACGGTATTCTGTTCCAGAAATACCAAGCAAATTAAGGTGTTAAGGTAATGGAAAACAGAGCCACTATGTAGATTAAAAAAATTCAATTCTAGATGATAATTTTACAATGCCAGATCAAGTTTGGAGTTGGCATATTGCTATTAATGACAGCTGAACAATATGAATGCACTTAATGCTGCTGAGCTGTCCATTTAAAAACAGTAAAGATGGTAAATTTTTTACATTGTGGGTTATGGAGCTAACTTATATGTTCTGGAGTTGAATCTAGGCAGCTCCACTTGAGCTATGAATTTGTTCTTAGTTTAAACTGCAATACAGCAATCATTATTTTGTGCTTCAAAATATATAAGTTCAAATGACACGTAGAAAGACATGTCTCTAAATTTAGACCCCAAAAACAAGATGTAAGGAGTCCCCTGATTGCTTGCCATAGCCCGGTTCAAACTGGGGATGCTGCACTTAAATTGGCATCACTGGACCTCCACCTTATATATCTACAGCTGAAAGATCCAGATCACCTGACTCAATTGCTCTGAAAATGAGGCATAGCCTTGCCAGTGTGAAAATAAATCTGTTCTCAGTGCCAGTCTTCTGGGAAGTTTCCATTATCTGCCTTGATGCCCACCAGCAGAACTTTAGGCTCTCTCCGAAGGGCCAGCTCATCACTGGACTATCTGAGCAAAAGCTGCTAGAGGCATCCAGTAGCGAAGCTGGCCTGTCTTTCCTCAAAACCTTATATCCAAGTGCTTGGAAGAAGCTTCAGTCCCTGAGTACATTGATCATGTTTCCAAAAAAAAGCCTGTAAGATAGAGAAAAGCACAGCATTGGTTGCTGAAGCAGCACTTCCAGGGGTGTGGAAAAAGAGCTGGTGGCATTAGAGCAAGCAGAGGATGAAGGAAGGATAACAAGTGTGAATGCCTGATAAGGTTTGTAAGCCCCACAAAACTGCAGCTGGGATTTAGTTATCTTAGCATGAGTAACAGTGCTCCATAGAGCTCTTTATTACATGTACTTTGATTTCTTTACACTATGTGATTCCTGCATATCTAATCACTGAGCTCTAAAACTCCATCTGGATACTCAGCTGATGTGGCTGAAACACAACTAGATAACCTCCAAAGAATATTTCTAACATTTGTACCTATGGGATACTTCACTACTTAATAATTCTTATGTATTTATATGCTATCATCTGCCCTTGGATTACCAAGTTTTGTTTGGTCTTTTTGACTATGTAGCCCAGGCTCGCCTTGAACTGCTGCAATCCTCCTGCCTCTGCCTCCCAAGTGCAGCGATTACAATCATGTGACACCACACCCAGCTGGATTATCACTTCTTAACGGAGGCAGCAAGTCCCCCAGAGGGATGCCAAATACCAGCTTATGATAAATTAATGTTTTAAGCTTTATAATGAAACGAAATGCTTCACACATCTATTCTTACTGTGGTTATATATTATCGGTGGTGACACAGTGACATCAGTGTTTTGAGACTTTAATGAATACAAGGCTTGATAAACCCTTTTCTGTAATTCAAGATACTGTGAGGTTGATATGATTGTTTTCAATTTAGAGATGAGGAAAGCAGAGCTCATCATATTTAGCGAGTTAGTAAGGATCACAGTGTTAAGAAATGGTAGAGCGTGGTTCAAACTAAGATGGGTCCATCTGTCAGATCTCCTACTCAGTCGCCATGGTTTAATGCAACAAAGATTTAGAGGTTTGAAACTCTACGCTTTGAATGCTTCCCTCAAGAAGTATCTAGACAAAGCGAGATGTTGGAAAAAACATAAATTTTACCTTTTAGGTAAAATAATAACCGCTGTGACAAGTGGTAGCATATACCATCAGGAGAGAAAATGAATACTGTGTTCCTAAATAATAAGTGAATTCCCACATTTCCAACTTGGGCTTTTGAGGCCTCCTCCAAGTAACTGTTTCTTGAACAGAGTAGAGGATAAGTAGAGTGTCAGCAGAAGTGACAGACATGGGTTCAAATTTAAATTCTACTTTGATCAAGTTACTTACTTACCTCTCTACACCTTAGATTTCTCATCCATAAAATGGTATTATAATGACGTAAACGTACTAGTTCTCTTTTCATTTTAGCCATTTGAATAAGCATGTCATTGTGGTTTTAATTTTCATTTATCTGGTGGCTAAAGATGTTAAGCATGCTTATTTGCCATTGGTATGTCTTCTTTGGAAAATTGTTCTAATTTTACCCATATTTTAAAATTGGATTGTTGTTCCTCTTGAGTTTTGGGAGTTTTAAAAGTAAATTCTGGATATAACCAAGTATTAGGATAGAGAACCAGAACTCTCACGTGTTGCCAGTGGGAATGGAAAACTACACAACCATTTTGAGAAACTTCTTGGCAGTTGATGAAAAAGTAAAACACCAACCTACAGGATAGCCAGGCCATTCTACACCTAGGCTTTACTCAACAGATATGAAAATAAATGTGCAAAAGAAACCACTTGCATGTAAATATTCACAGCAACTTTATTAATAATAGCCTCAAACTAGAAATAACCCCAATGTCATCAATAGCTAAATAGATAAACTAATATAGCCAGACAATGGAACATTATCACCCATAAAAAGCAATAAGGTACTGATAAATACTACAGCATGGGTAAGTCTCAAAATAATTACGCTGAATGGAAAAAGTCAGAAAAGAGATCCATTTATGGAAAATTCTAGAAAGTACAAACTAATCCACAATGACAGAAGCAGATCAGTTGATGCCTTGGGACAGGAAGAGGGACACGGGACAGAGAGTACTTTAAATATGTGTAGTTTATTATCTGTCAATCATCCTTAAAGTCTTAAAATTTTATTACCTTTCAACATTCCCTTTGCCCTATAATTACTCCTGATACAGAAAAATCCCCAGCAATTAGGCTTGCAATACATGGCCCTCCCTGCTTTCTTGACCAAGATGACCCATTTGACATCAGGCCACTAAAGGTGAGAAACAAAGAGTCCAATGTTTTATAGAAAAGGTCCATTATGTTCTGCTTCTAAGGTCCCTGGGGTTCCCTGGTCAGGCTCATCCAAAGGCTGGTTGCTTTAACTTTAGATTTCAATATCTGAGTCTTCATCAATAAATTCTAGCCAGAAATGGCTTATGTTATCTGGAACCTGGGGGGAAAATGAAATTTACATTTAATTCTTTTCATTATTATTTATTACACTATCACAAATGGCTACATCCCTACTTAACAAAAACAAAAACAAAAAACCCACCATGTTTACGAGGTAGATGGGTCATTCACTCATGCTTCCACTGAATAAACTTTTATCCAATAGTGACAGGCACTATACCAGACATTTTCACATTTCACTCAAATGACATAAAGGCCTGTATAGCAGTCCCATGTGTATGGTGGAGAATGCTTAGACTCCAGGGTTCAGTTACTTGCTTAAAGTCAAAATTTTCCTAGTAGATCCTGGATCCAGGATTTAAGCCCAGATCCTTCTAACTGTAGAAGCCACACTTCTCCATTACCAACATTCCATTTGTTGGTAATAGTAAGTCCTTATATCTATGAGTTCCCAATGTCCAGTCACTGTGGCTTGTGGATTCGGGAATCTGGCATCCTAAGATGTTTTCTTGGTTCTGTCTCATGGCTAACAAGACCATCTACTGACTGCAGCTCAAAAGGCATTGCCCTAAAGGAATGGGTTCTGGGAAAGAATGAACTGTCTGTTCTGCAAAACAGGGGCCATCAGTGTATTGATGTCTGTTACCTCATAATAACTCTTAGTCTTGAGTGACAAAGGAGTAGCACAAACCTGAAAATAAAAATGGTCAATGACAGCCATAGGAAATGCCCAAGCAATGCCGCCTGGTCACAAATCAAAAGATAATGGAGCTGTAATGTCATCCTGAACATTCAGCACTAATGCAAAGCTTAGGTTTAAAGTTGCACCACAAACAATTTCGGTAGCACTAGTTCAGGTTAAAAAGACCTCACAAAATGCTCTTTTCTTCAGGAAAGTGAGCCTCCAGAGCAGGAGATTTTCATATTCTATTTTAGAGATTTCAGAACAGTTTAGTGTTACTCTTGAATTGGAAATAAAATAAAAGGGAGAAATCCATGGATCTTTACCTATATTTTCTTCCTTGTGATCTAATTACAGAAATACGAAATTTGCCCAAAATTCATATGCACTAAAAATCACCAGTGCCCTTTGTAAAAAAAAAGCAACCATTAAATAGTTTGTTCAACAAAAGTATATATATATCCACATGATAAAATTATGCATACATACACATACATTAAAAGAATTTTCAAACACTAAATCACAAAGATAATATTTGTGATTTGCTAAATAATAAAAAATAGGGTACAAAAATAATTAAGCAGTCTGATCCTAAAATGTGTGTGGTATATATATGAATATATGTTGTGTGTGTGTGTGTGTGTGTGTGTGTGTGTGTGTTACTGGGTATTGTACCCAGGACATCATGCATGCTAGGCCAGCATGGGTAACATATTTTCTTTCAAGCTTTTGTATTTCATTTATCATATATGCTAAACATAATATGGTATCCCAGATTAGATAGATGCTAGAACAGAAAAAAGACACGTAAGTGGAAAAACTTGTAAAATCTGAATAAAGTCTGTAGTTTAGTCAGTAGTAATATACCAATGTTAATATCTTAGTTTTAATATAATATCACTATGTAAGATGTTAATACTAGGGGAGGCTGAGTGAAAAGTATATAGGAACTCTATTCTATCACTGCAACTTTATATATATAAAATTATTTTTTGAAATAAAATGTTTTTAAAATGCATACATGATAAGCCACAGTAGAATTCACAATAGAAGAAACGTTATTGTTCATTATTTGTTAGGGTTGCAATAACTTAACACACTTAAGCTGTTTTATTTCCTAGATGTATCTTATTCTTATTTCTAGTTTTTAACCTCTTATGCTCTAAAGCTCTTCTGGGATTCTGTTTTCTACAAATAGCATGTAACCCAATACTAGGCTAAGGATATACAAGCTAGACTGACAGGATCATTGATTGGTTGATTTGTCTTGAAAAGGAAGACACTAACAGATACATCAAAAGATTCATTATTATGCTCCTTTTCTCCTTTCTTCAACAGCTTATAATTTCCATGTGTATTTTAGATGAATGATAGAAAGTATTAACAAATTAATTCATTCAAACAACATGAAATTGCAATTTTAGGCCAAAGATGTTTAGTATTTGCCTTTCATATGGATCCGCTTATACAATAAGCATTTTATGTCAGTCAAGAGAGAGCTTCTGAGACAAGTATCAGCAAATATCAATGTGGGCTTCATTGCAATTAGTATTTCCATGAGGTCCTCTCCCATAGTCTTGCCATTTTGCACTTTCAACTATGAGCATTTACTTCTTTCTCCAAAGTTATTCAAACAACAAAATTCTCCCCAGAGGTTTAAAGCCAAATATTCAATCATCAGTTCAAAAAAATCAAGGCATACTTAGTTGGTTTGACTGGTTGTGAAGTATATGATAAATAATTCATTACTACTAAAAAAAGAAGAAAAAACACTAAACTTCATAATTGGTTTCTCTTTTTCCTTTTAATATCAATTAGAACAGATTCAAAGCGATTCTGATAAAGCCATGCACTCACTTACATCCCAGTTGGATTTCCAGAGTGGGGAAGGAGGGGCAGGCAGAGCAGGGCTCGGGTAACCACACTACTCACATGTTCAGATGGCACACGTCCACGGAGCACCCACCTGTGTGCCTCCTGCAAACAAGGGAGGCAGCTGTTGTGGGTTCCCAACTCAGAACACGAGCATCTATTGAATCATGCATAAGACGCTGATTTGAAAGACAATCTAACCCAACATCTGTCAGGGTATCTGTTTGCCTTTTGGCCACATTTATTTAAAACAGTGCTTTTTACAATTTAAAATTAAAGAAATCCATAATCTAAATAAAGAATAAAAATGAAAGACAGACAATGGAAGTAGGGAGATACGTCTTTCTCAGATGGAAAGAGGATCGAGTGATGGAGGAAAGAGGAAGGGAAAAGAGAGAAGGGGTTGCAAAGAATTAGATGTGTTACATACATGTAAAAAGGCCCTAAAACAAATGTACTCACTATGTACTGTAAACATGTACTAATAACTAACTTAAAAACTAAAAAGTGGTTTTTCCCCCCAAATGCAATCTTACAATTTATTCTGGTATCTAGGAATTTTTCTGAGTGTCAACGGTGTGCCAGGAAGTGTAATACTACTGTAACGAATAAAACAGATTCTGTACCTATGCACAAGACATTAGTTGTACAGACAAACAATAAGTCAGGTGAACACTAAACGTGAATTATAAAGAGTGCAGAGTGCATGAAATAAACAGGACACTGGGTGAGAAGGGAACCTGGATTATTTGAGGCAGTTACATTTAACAGAGACCCAGTATTTACCTGAAGACAGTTCTTTTCTTAACTTCACGCTACTCTTGTAGAGATATGCATATTTCTGATCCATCAGAACTGTCGAGCAGATCTCACTAAAATTTGGAGATGTCTGGCACAGAAATGAAAGGTCATATCAACAAGATTATATCATTTCACAGAAGACAGCCATCATCTATATATCAAGAAATGGAGCCAAAGGCAGCACTTTCTTCCAGTTTTCCGTGACTCTATCCCCTCCACTTACAGAATATTGCAAAATCTGTGATCAGCTGCCACATCCCACATATTATCCACCATTAACATAAATCAAGGTTTCACATTTGTAATTTATGTTTTAGCACTTAGACAATGCCTTGCTAGTTATTTTAAATAGATAAATCAGATCAAAATTTTGTTCATAAAATATTGGAAATGTCGTAAGACCCCTGATTTATTTAACAATGTCTAACATTTCTTGATCTTCATTTATTTCAAGTGTTTAGGAAAAAAATGGCTAGCTGGCTGATCCTGCTCTTATTTTTATTCCTTCATTTTGGAGATTATATCTCACCCCAAAATCATTTTTAATAATGAGATATGCAATTTTTAAACTGTTGACTTTTCAAAGAATAGACATGATTAAGATTAATTCATACAGTTCCAGATATATTCAAAAATTGATTAGTCTGAACGGCACATTTGATGCATGTCTGATAGGCAAGCTTTTATATTTTAACTTCATCTATACATACAGAAATTTACTCTCTTATTTACTTAAAAGCCAGAACAGCCTAGGCAATAGAAAGAAGTGAATGTGGATTGAACACTGCTAGGGATACCATCTCAATCGCCCAGCTTACAAACTGTACACATTCACAGGAAGGACTAGAATACAACAGTTTAACACAGTAAGACGAAAACAGAAATGTGCCCACGGACTACACAGAGGTTCTTCCAAAGGTAGCGTGGATGCCAGAAGACAAAGATTGAATGAATACACAGAAAACCCTAAAAGGAAAAAATAAAATCTGGATAAGCACACAGAAGAGTAGAAGGGACAACTTGCTGTTCCAGCAAAGAGCTGCCTGTGCTAAGTCTCAAGTCAGAGACACAGTCTCAGTTTTAGAAACCAACTTACTCATACTTTCTACCTATAAAGTCCGAGGGGCAAGGGTTGGTGACTGACCTTGGAAATAGTTACCTTTTTCATTTGTCTTTGAATAATTTTCATCCTCCCTGACTGATGTGCATATATGTTCACATGTATAATACACATTAGATGCTGATGAAAATGCAGGTAAAGTATATAATGGAGCTACCCACCCTAGCATTCTACAACAGACAACATCCCATTATAGGGCCTTAACATTTCAATGTTTTAGTATTTATGCAATAATTATATTAGATTACAATGTTGAAGAACAAACTAAGATTTGTAACAAAATTAAAAATAAGCCTTGAAAGAAAGTTTCTAAAATGCAAATGGAAATTAGTTTAATAGTTCCTCAGGCAGGTGTTTGTCGTTCTTATGCAATGTTGACTAAATTTAACAAAACAAAGATAAGGGGGAAACTTAACTAAACTTAACAATTAAGTCATTTGATCTAGAAAAAGCTCAGGATCTTCAGTTCCCTCACAAGGAAAATTATTAAAGAATATGGCTAATCTACTAAGCTATTCTTTCTAGCCTAGGCTTTCTGCTCCTAAAAAACAGAATAAGAACATTTACAGGGATCTTTAAAACTACTGGAGTTCTGTGAATAAACTCAGACCTAAAGGACCATCTTCCTTTCAATTTCATTTTTCTAACTGTTCAAAATAAAAAGACAGACGATGCTGTTCTCTCCTCCCATTTATCATACTTTGCCAATACTGCATCACATGCATTGCCCGTGCCCACTTACTCCTTTCCTACACACTACCTCAACTTGGTGCACCTACGTTATAGAGCCATCAAAAGAACAGTAAGAACCAGACAGTGAAAGAAACAATGCTGCAGAGGGTTTAAAAATTTATACACTTTTTTTAAAAGACAAAGAACTGCTCGCTATGTTCCAAGAGGCATGCAATAGGGATAATTAGGAAAAAATAAAACAATAACAAGGATTCTCAGTAACAGCTAATACATGGCAAAACCCTTTCTTAAGAGAAATGAAGAAAATTGCTAACAGTCAAGCTTAAATTGGGCCAAGATCAAGGGGCCAAAAATAATTTCAATCTCAGACATAGAACTAGACAACTGAATGCTTAGGCTATCCATTTCCGAGTGCTCGTTTTCTGTAACTGATCTTCCAGTGATGTTCCTATATCATACCCTGGTAACAGATAAAACAAACAAGCAGCCAGAAGTTAAAAGAATGAAGAAAGTGTATAATCCTACAGCTCAGAGTCAGAATCCAAAGTCTCTATTACAGAGCCTGTCTAATGAAATAAAAATTTGATATTTGAATTTAGTCCCAAAAGAAAGGTTACCCTGCTATAACACTTCACAGCTCTCCTCTCTCTGCAGCTGTCCTCATGTTACCACCTCAGTCCTTATTCTTACTAACACAGTCTAGAACTGTCTCTGGCATATATTTCAGAAATACAATGGAACCTGAATTAGCGTTTGCAGTTGTAAAATTGGTAGAGAAAATTGCCGTGGGACCTTCTGTCTTCTTGCATATTGACTCGAGGACTTTACCAACATAATGTGAAGATTCTATGGGTTGGAAAAGTAGTCAGGCAAACCAGTATAGAGGCCATCAAACTTTGCCCAGTAATCTGAAGGGAAAGTCACGTTTTATACTTTCTGGGAACCAGAGGGAAATGGAAATTGCTCTCCCTCTCTTAACTCCTGAATAATTCTGGGAATTTCACATAACAGACATTCCATTGGTCTGTACGGTGGGACACACAGCATTTGTGGCCATGAAGAGATACCTTAATACCACATAAAATACAAGTAGGAATGTGCTATAGGGAGAAGATAAGTTCCCTGTCCCTCTGCTCAGTGCACCCAGGGACCCATCTTGACGGTACCAGACTCACTAGGCCCTTAGTGCTTTAAAATGGCCTTCCATATTTATACTCCAAAAGGAGAAACCTCATTTAAACTACCTAAAATTAAGAGTACAGAGGCAAAATACAGGTGTGTGTCTCAGCCATAATCTGTAAAGGCAGCAAACAACCTGTAAACTTAGACACTCAATGTCTAAGTGAAGCATTTTTCCTCAATTCTTCCTTCCAAATTCAGGTTTTTTTTGAGTTTCCATTAATTTTCAAGAAAAAGCATTCCAGCAATTCCTAGTTTGGGGGTTTTAGTTTGCTTGTTTGTGTTTTTTATTGTTTTTGAGACAGGATCTTGCCATGTAACCCAGGGTGGCCTTAAAACTCACTATGTAGCCCAGGATGGCCTTGAACCTGCTGCGATTCTCCTGCCTCAGCGCCCCCAGTGCTGGGATGACAAGTATGCACCACCATGCCCAGCAATTCCTAGTTTGATAACAAGGTTGAAGGCGCTAAAAGGAAACTGGGACACAGGGTGGTATCCAATGGCAGAAGCTGGTATCAGGACAAATCCAGTGACAGGTATCAATATGAATGGGCTAACAAACATTTAAAGAAGATGTGCATGTAAGAGGCTCTCTAGGAGAAAAAAAATTATGACCTTGTAAAATGTTCCAAGAAAAAGGTTAAATTGATCCCAAACTGAAACATACCACGCTTACCTAATACTCTTCCTTAAAAATTGAGCCACAATTATATTGTCCTTCATATCTAACCACCAATTAAAATAAACACAGCAGATAAATAAGTACTTAGTACTACTACCATATTAAAGGTGGGAGAGTTCATGAAAAATAAAAAAGGGAAATTGAGCTTCTGATAGTGAAAAGGGCTAAGAGTCTTATGGAAGCGTAGCTTTCACACTGAAATTAAGATGGGGCAAAATGCCTTAGAAGACTTTAAAATCTTGCTGGGGCCAGATGCAGATAAGGGTTGGCTGGAGAGGTCAGGGACTTGTATGGCCTCCTTCACAGTGAGCAGAGGGGAGGTAAAAAGGCCACCCTGCAGGAAGAAGGGACAGCCATTTGACACCGTGCTGTGTTCAAACCACTCTGTAGTTCAGGCAAAACCTGCAGGCCGGAAGAAAAAAGATAAGCATGAAGGGAGAAAACTTAAGACAAAGCACAAAGAGGATTCCAGATGTGAACAGGGTACAAGGAAAGAATTAAGGCACGTTATGGCCATGTACCGACTCCTCACAATGAATGTAAACATTATGTACCACAAACACACTAATGAAAATTTTGAAAAACATTGTGTGGATAGGGTTCAAAGAATGTTCAAGAACTCTGTATGAGGCTAATGAGATCAGACTTTCCGCCAGTGATAGACGATGCCTAACAAACATTGTTCCAATAGATGATAAGAGTCTCAGGACTCAAATGACCTGACATTCATGTAAGATTATCTCAGCCTATTCAACATGAGGGAAAAATTAGATCCAGAAAGCAGAAGTCTCTGGGAACTTTGGCATGCTCCCCTGGTAAAGCTACACCTAGAACTCTGGTTTATAAACCCTGAGTCCAGGGCTGTTATTATACCTCATGAAGCCACCTGCACATTTGTGTCCCAATACCATCAGCAGGCTTTTACTGACACTTATTAAACATAGTCAGCTTCCCACAATTTAAAGCATGCAAATAAAATATAAACACTTATTGTTTTTGTTAATAGCTTGCACACCAAAAGCTCTCTACTGACTTCAAGTTATTTCCTTGCATTTAACAAAAAATAATACTGCATTTGAATATTTGTTCAACAAATATTCCTTCAGCACCTACTGTGTGTCAGGCACATAGAAACAAGTGGCACAGACCCTGGCATCGAGAAGCCTAGACCGCACACTGAAGAGAACGAATGTTCTACAAATCAGAGTGTCCTATCAATACACTTCATTTAATGTGCCACGGAATTAAGAGAATGGAATGCATGGACCTAAGAAAACAGGGAAGGAAGACTGAGACCTGATGCTGGAGCAGACGCTGAGGAAGGACGGGTGATCAACAGTAAGGAACGAGATGGCGGCCAATTCCAAGAATACGGACCTGCCACAGTGGTTCCCTGAAAGGCAGTGAGGCCTGAGACAATTAGCAGAAAACACAGTCACCAGATTAGGATACAAGGTGGGTGGGGTTTGTGGGGATAAAAATTCTAATGCCAGGCAAACTGGCAGCAAAGTCAGAAAGAAAGTAGAAACTGAGCTGGGGATTTAGTTCAGTGGCACCTTGCCTGCCTTGCAAGCACAAGGTACTGAGTCCGATCCCTAGTACCAAAAACAAAATAAAACAAAGCTCAATCTCTTTGAAGTTGTAAAGAAAGACTTTTTAAAGGAGAGATGAACACTACTCTTTCTTTAAATATGTGGTGAGTATGAAAAATCCTAAATACTCTAATAAGTTTTGCCTTATAAACACACTCTTATATTCAAAATTAGACAGTTGAGAAAAGTAGGCATTGGCAAGAGGATGAGCCCAGAAAGAAGTTAAGAACACCCTAAAAGGACTTAACTCACTCACCTGGCAAACTCTCCTGAGATAGCCCAGCAGCCCTGGCTACTGATTTATATTCTTCTCAGCTGCATACATACTTGTGTCTATTAGATTATTAAAATATTAATAGGGTCTTGGTATCTGTCATTATTAATTTTAGAAAGGAATAAGGGACATGCCAAGCCATGGTATTGATAAATTTGCAGAATATGTTAATCCTGACACTCATTATTCAGGTAAATTACTATTTTTTTCAGATGGTTTTTCTCCACTACTCATTTTTTTATTTAACAATTTTTCATCTCCAACAAAGCATTCCCTTAGAAATCTACTTACGTATGTATTTTTATAATGTTTTTATAGCAATAATTTATTTAATTGTTAAACCCCATCACATAGTGACAAAAGTTT